TTTTCTGTTGATATATCACTGTTTATATACCCTTGCTCATGTTATTGTCTATATTATTGTTGATATTATCTTACTTATTATCTTGCTTATTATCTTGCTCGTTATATCATTCATCTTATTATCATTGTTCATATTCATCCTATCATATTATTCATATATTGTTCATCTAACCTTTTTCTTGTTTATCTCACTCAAAAATACCAAAAATACAATAAAACTATTGAAACCCTAAAAATGATTAATTGGAGGATTGTTGGTCATTATCTTGGGTATTGGAGTTTAGAACTTATACATAAACCCTAGTTTGTTTATTTTTGTCCGAGCTATTTTTCATTGTTTAGTTTAGAACACCTCGCACACACACGGCTTCCTCTTGGGCTACCTGACAATTACCCCATTTATTTCTCGCAATCTCGTGTACTTTGCATGTATCCCTCTCCTATTACAGTGTAATAGCTTAGTTTCTTTTCATGCTTGCTTTCTTACTTGTTAAGAAAGATAAAAATGAATTAGGCTAGAACATGTTTTCAAAATAAAGAACAAATAAGGCTTGATCCAGTGTCAAGTCATTTTCAAACTCATTTCAACTTGGATTACCTTAGGGTTTCTCCTTCTCTTCTCATATCTCTTCCATCACACTCACATCAACCTTGTATGTATTCAACCCTTGTAAGTCGATTGCTTCGCACATCGCCATCAACCTACCCCGATCTATTCACTACCCTTTCTTTTAATAACATTTCTCTGTTTCTTGTGTCTCCTTGCGTCTAAAAACCTTGGTCATGTACCAAATGCATTTTCAAAACTCATTTCCTTAAAAACTTGGATGGTTGTGGAGTGGTTAGGCAAAGACCTTGTCCTATCCTGAGTGCTTGACATTATCTTTAGGGTTCACTGTCATGAAGTACTTACCATTCAAAATTAAAAAAAGTTTTTAATAAGAGAATGAAGTTTTCTTTGTATTGAACTAAAGAGAGAGGATTAAGTGAAGACTTCTTCCTCTCTGAATATTAGGATACTCACTTTAGAGTGTGTGGTCTCGATACTCATCTTCCAATATGAAGACATGCTTGTATTCACCACACCATTTTCACAATAAATCTTTTGAGATAAAGAATTGGGTGCTACCTGCAAGGGGTTACTATCTGAGGACTTATTTCACCCTTATAAATAACTTCCACAAACCAAATGTGACATCTTGCCTTGATGGCGAAACTTTTCTTTTCAAAAAGGATATGTTACGTCCGTTCTACTGCAAACAGGTAAAGCCTAAGACTCCACAAACGAGTTGCAATACACCTAACTGCTAGAATGTGTACGTTAGCATCGTCCATAAAAATGTCGGTAAATCGTACGCCGAACTACGACTGCTCTGATTCTTCACTTCTTTTAAGTGAAGAGACGTAGGCACACGGGCCCCAACCTTGTCGAGCACACTTTCCCATCTTTTATCAGTAGCTCTCCGAACTACGTTGACTCTGACTTTCTCATACCTGTTGAGAATACGTAGGTATAGGACCGCGAGGTCCTACCGAGTTTTTTCCCCTTTTTTATCTCCTCTTTTCCCTGTTTCCAACCTTTCTCTTTCCCCTTAGAACACTCTTCATAGCAGTACCTTTTAGAAAATATCTTCACGTATAGATAAGCAAATGGTTCCCATTGAGTACGATGGATGCGAGGGGTGCTAATACCTTCCCTTCGCATAACCTACTTCCGAACCATTCTCTTGGTTGCGAGACTGTCTTATCCATTTCTTTTTGGGGTTTTCTCGATCTTTTCCCTTCCCCTTTTGGGATAAATAAAGTTCGATGGTGACTTTTCTGTCCTTTCATTTTTTCCTATCCGTCGTTGCATTTTTTGAGTAGCAACACCTCCTTTGCAGAATTGTAGCCATTATTTTGTCATATTCAAATTCTACTACCTACGATATATATGTAAGCTGCATATAAGCTTGTTTGGGGTGATTGAACTTATTTGCATTTCAGATTTTATTTATTATTATTTACTAGTCCCAATCCCATTATTGTTTATCTGAATTCACATTTGTATCATAATGTGCATCAACTGAAGGATTCCAAGCAGAAACAGAACATATTCTACAATGTAGACGTCAAGAATTTATAATTGTTACCAATTCATCAATTAGCTCAAAAACATACAATAACTTTCTGTCTCTGCAGATTAACTCAATTAAAAGTTCCCAAGAATCAAGTTGTGGTCGGAACCCCATATTAAGTTCTTGCATTAGCATTCTAAGGACACCCTTGAATGTATTTTCTATGAAGCTTTCATGGGGTTTGTGAAGTACCACATTGAATATTCAACAACAAATCTGAGTGTTTATATAGTTTGTTCACACAATAATAATAAATCTTGATTATTGGGCTGCTACTGTTAAGAACATGGGTTTCAGGCCCAAATATTTTATATTAAAGTTTGTGAAATTTAATTTAAATAGATTTTCTAAAAAAATTAATTAAAATTAATTATAAAAAAAACTGCCACGTAGTCCTTTCTTTCGCCACCTCAGCTGACATGTCATCTCAACTAACACTGTTTGTCAATATTTGACAAAAAGGAGTACTTTGATTATGTTAGACAATGTAAAGGACCAATTTTAAATTTTTAAAAGAAAGTGGACCAAAATGGATCCAGAGACATAGGTAAGGGACTAGGTGCATATCTTACTAACACTTTGTTGAAGGTATCTTCCTCCACGCTCATCGCACCAATTTTTTGTGAAAAATGATGTCTTGAAACAAAGTATAAACAGTTTCTTTATCGGCAAGAAACACACAAGGGTTAGGGTTAACGGAAAAACAAGAAGAACAACAAGGATTGGTTATAACTAATATTTTTTACTTTCTCGTTAAATCAAATTTCAAGTACTCAAGAACAACAAATAACCCTCTCACCCTAATTGGAATTTTCACCACCCTTAAGATAAGAGATTAGTATGCTATTTATAATAAAACCTAACATACTAAATTAATGGGCCTTTTAACAATTACTCATTACAAGCTAACTTAGGGTACAAGCTAACTTAGGCTACAAGCTAACTTAAACAATTAGATCTTTAACACGAGATCCAAATTCGATAATACATATTAGAACTGACTTCGACTATAATATGTAACATTTCGACAACAGCATGATAACGACCTTCGACTTCATGCTAAACATCTGTCAAACTATCGAACCAAGAAGCTACCTTCGATCATACTAGAGCTCAACTCAATATCTCATAGAATGAGTCTTTGACCTTTAGGTGAGTGTTTGATCCAATGTGAATGTTTCCCCCTCATGATGACTCATCAGTGGTATTAGAGCCAAATGTTCGAGTAAAGGACTAACTCCTTATGTCAAAAGTCTTCCTGACATTGTGGTCAGGCATCGTGTTCCATTTAAGTGTCCATGACAAGATAAGGGTGTTTATCAACGGCGATACAAGCATGTGAATGAAAGAGCTTCCGCTTGAGGGAGAGTATGGTGAATAGACTCACACTTGAGGAAGAGATTGTTGAGAAACATATGTGAGTTATGTTGAGAAACAAGTGTGAGTTCTAAGTCCCACATTGCTTAGAAAAGTGGAGGTTGAGCACTTTATAAGTAAGATTACTCATACACCTATCACATTAAGATTTTTTATGAATATAAGGTGTCTCTCTCACTTGTATGGATGAGTCTTTGACTTTTAGGTGAGTGTTTGACTCAATGTGAATGTTTCTCCCTCATGATGACCCATCAATACATAGGAGCGTGATTTTGAAATCTTGTCAAGCACATTAATAAAAATCTCTAAAAATCTTTTCTTTCTTTTTTTCTCTCAATAAGTAGAAGAAAAAAATTAACGTAAGATAACATTCAATCGCAAGTTAACTAAAAGGTTCTCGTTGAGTATAACGGGCGTAAATGGTGCTAATATTTTCTCCTTGCGCAATTGACTCTCGAACCCAAATTTGGTTGCGACGGGCATTTTCATTTTCTTTTAAGAGTTTTATCAATATTTTCTCTTTCTTTATTTAGAATAAATAAAGTTCGGTGACAATTTTTTACAAATCATTTTTCGCGTGGATACGAACGCTTTACGAAGGATCATATTTTTCGAAATGCGACAATTTTAACTTCAAAATATAATAAAATATTATTTCTACGATAATCATTTTTATTATGGAAGAATGAGAATGTGTTTTTGGAAGATGACATGTCAACAAATAAATGATGTGACACAAATAGAACTCAAGTGATAGGCTAATTTACTCCTTCCTCTCAAAATAAAAATAAAAAATTTAAATTGTCGCACATAAATTTTAAAATGTTAATGATTAAATGATTAAATAATTAAATATATTATAAATTTGTCCTTTGATTTTCATATTATTGGTTGTCAAATATGCAGTATCTTGAAAATAGTATTTTGAGATGGTTGTCAAATATATAGTACCTTGAAAGTAGGATTTTGAGTCAAAGAGAGTAATGTATTATAAATAAACAGATAGATTATAACCATCTATCTCACAAAAGAAGATTTCTTCCCTTTGCTTGAACAAAGCTAAACACAAATGATACTAACGTTAACTTGGTAAGAAAACCCTCTAATATAACAAAATGGAATGTGGGATACTGGAAATAGGTTTATGAAGATGTGGGAGACTTATACATATTTATTGCACCTCTAGATCTACATATAACCAGAACAAGAAAAACCATATAATTTTAAAATGCAAATTCAAATGTCATTTGTATGTGTTCTTTCAATATATAATTGGAAGTGTATTTGTACATATGTTGTTCAGGAGTTATAAACTCATAAAAACTGTTTTTCCCATCCAAAAAGATACTTCTGCATAAGGTATGGTTTTTAAGAAATCATGGAAGGTAAAAATAGCTCTCAAAGATAAATAAACATCTTATTCAAACAAAACAAGATATACATATATCTATTTACATCTTCTACCTCAAATCTACTTAGACACAAATTGTTTACATCAATGATATCATTACTTCAGTCTCATTTGAGAAAGTCTATTGTTCCATATAGAGTGAAGAATCATATGAAATAAGTCAAACTTAACAGGAATTTTGTGCCACAGAAAATGTTGCTGAACCTTCTTTACTCCCAAATGCAATGCCAAATACTTCTTTTCTGGAATTGAGAGAAGTATCTCTCGAAGACTAGGGACATCGCTTTCGCGAACAAATACCGAAAACGTTTCCCATTTCAACACCTCAAAGAAAGGAGGCACATAATTATCTGATATGATAACCGGAACACACTCGGAAAATATCGCTTCGACTATTCTTGGTGTGTGAACTTCATAACCTCTAGCACATATACAATATCTGCTGCTATTCATGTACTCCATATAAATTCTTTTACCTTCCGCGTCACGTGCCATTTGACCGAAAATTTTCATGTCGGGTTCTTTGTTCTCCCAGTGTTTTAGTAAGATCGGACGGAGATAACCGTGCATGCCTCCTGCAAAAAAGGCTAGTATAGTCCTCTCTGAAGGAGGTTTACCTGCGATTTTTCTTAGTGGATTCATTACAGAATGTATGTACGTAACAGGTAGAGTAGTGTCCTTCCCTATTTGGAATCCTTTAGCAACATTAGCATTGCACAGAGACCGAATACAATTTTTCATTGGTTGCACTGTGATTCGAGAAGCCTGCAAATTCGTGCATCACATTATGTTAATTCAAGCAGACTCTAAAAAAGACTCTTATCAACATTATGCTGTATAAATGATAATCAAAAGTCATGCATCAGAAGCGCACCCAATCATGACAGGCAACTAGGAAATGGTCTGCTCCTCCAGTTCTGTTCCAGAAACGATATCTTCCCGCAATTAAATTCACATATCTTTCAAGGTATTGCTCCATCTGGTTATTGTTGGAAATATTAGCCCTTAGCATTTGCGAACTGAATGGAAGGTAAAATAAATGAGCTTTTTTGGGATCCTTCACTACGAATCTCTTGCTTCCCTCCATCAATTTCATAAACCATCCCTCTGAGGCATAAATTCCTCTCATCTTTGGTTGATGAAATATTGGTTTTTCTCCTTCTCTATAGATATAAACTTTGAGCTTGCGCTCCATCAGCTCATAACTCCTGAAGAAGAACGGATCACAGAGACAATTCAATAATCATATACGTATTTATGCATAAATTATTTCTATAACAAATAAAAACATCATTAAACAGTCTCGAAAGTACTTTTGTCAATCCAAACAATCCCTAAATGACAAATGAGCCAATTCAATCACAGTAACATACTAAACAAGAAAATACATGACAACTTGCAACTTAGATCTGAGTGTATATAAGAATGAATAAAGAATAATTTGCAATGTAGTTCAATACAGCTAACAAATTGAACAATTGTCGGTGTACCTTAAAAATTTGGAAACGTCCCGGTAAACAGGTGCATAAATTCCCGGAGAATTAGATATCACATTTGCATTTTCAATCTCCAGTTTTGCAGTTAAGAGTTCACGATCACGTTGCGACGAAGACCACGCTGGCTTCTATCATCAATACATCATATGCCAAAATTAGAAGTACAAACCCATTAATGGTTCAATTGGAATTTAAAATAACAAAAGTTGAACTTCATACCATAGATGAAGTATTAAAACTCTGAATCAACTGAGAGTTCAACTCTGTTAACGAAGTTGGCCATGCCAACTTACTCATCCGTGTCGAGGAACCTGTCATAGATATATTATTTAAATCGGACAAAGAAGTTTTCAGTAGCCGAGGTTTCACATTTTGGGGCTCTATTACTTCCATACTTTGTATTCCATTTCCATTTGCTGCAAAATCCATGTTGTTTCTCTGGTGTTGAATACCATGTTTGTTATATAATTCTCTAACCTTTTGCAAAGAATCACCACGCAATTTTTTCTGAGTGAAACTGTGATTTTCGTTTTCATGACTATCAACTTCAAATTCAAAACTGTCACTACCGAAGATTCTTCCTTCTTCATGATCAAATTCATGATCCAAATCAGAACCTTGTTGATCTTTTTCAAAAGTAACATTGTTTCCGATGAATGTAGGCACATCCAATATAGAAAATGTTTTCCAATAAGATTGGAAAACAAGTATAACAGCAACAAAGATAACAACAGTTAAGAGATGTTTGAACTTCACATGATAGAATCTCAAGTGTAGAAAAAAGTTACCCATTTCACACAAAACTAAACTAATTCGACTAAATCTTTCTCAAATAACCCTAATGCGAATACTGGCTGAAATAATCTCTGGTCAGATTTTATTTACTCAAAGAGTCATCATTACAGTGAGTTAAGAATCCTGAGGGAAAACCTGAAAAGTTAGGTAATTGAATTGAGTAAGATAGTTGAAAGAAGAAGATAGAAATGGAGAATAGCATTGGATTTGTCTCCGTCGTAGGTGGATCTTTGCTGCCGTCGAATGCCGTCGTCTTAGCAGCGGTTGGATATCTGTTCTTCACTCCCTTCCTGCTGTGTTTTGTTTCCTATTTTGTTGTTATCTGGTGAGCAGTTGGAATAGCCAAATCACTATTTTAGTCTCTCCAAGTATTCTATTGTTTGATAAACTAGTACTTGATGATTAGTAAGCAACTTTTGTGCAGGATTGTTAAACTAAAATTCTTTATAACTTAGGTTAGTAATAAGGAATTTGCATTATAGTAGTGCTGACATGGTATATGGGATGCTCTAAAACTAGTTTACGTACTTTATACAAACAACCTACTCTAACTCATTATCTATAACATATATAAAGTCAATACTTGGTTTTTGGTGTAGTTTTTTTTTATATCAAATTTATCCTTATTTTATATAAAGCGGACAGACAGGCACGCGAGTGCCCGTCTGGACGCTAGTTTAACATAAATAATAGATTTTTATTAATTATTTAGCATAAATAATAGATTTTTATTAACCATTTAATACCATGTGGGGTTAAGTTTTGGTTTCTTATAAACAACCACCATTAAAGTAAAAACTACTCAAATCAACTTTAAATTTTTTAAATCCTACAAATCACTTTAGACCCACAAAAAATATCTTAGTTTACCCATTTAGTTTACTCCCACTAAGGATGCTCTAATAACTTACAGTAAATCATTTATAACTTATAATTAATGATAAAAAAAAAATATTTTTAAATTAAAGAATTAGTGGTCCTATTTATTAACTAATATTTATTTAATAAAAATAAATATATTAATAATTAAATGCAAAATATTTTAAATATAAATATGAAATTAAATATATAAGTTTTGTAATGAAATTCAAATATTTAAAATAATAATATTGTAATTTGATCTTATATTTTAATAAATGCATATTTTATTTTATTTTTTCTCTCTCAAAATCGTTGATATGTCTACTAATAAACAAATATATTTAACGATTCATTATTATATTTATAAAAATAAAACATTAATAATAAAAAATCAAGTAATAAATAATTAAAATAATAATTTAAAGTAATACAAAACAATTTAATGTAATGAATTAAAATATTTCATTAATAACAAAATGGAAGATGAATTGAATCATGAATTTGTTCGGTAAAAATAACGACTAATTTTTTTTATTCTCTCAACTAAAACACAATTATTTTAATTTAAATCATAATAATATAAAGGATAAAAATAAATTTTTGATAAAATAGTAAAGATACAAATGAAAGAAAAAGTCATAAATTAAAAGCTATAGTTGAAAAACTACTTCAAATAACTTTTTAAAAAAACTAAAAGTTAGTAAAAAAGCTAAAAGCTAAAAACTAAAATATAGTTATCATAGAGAATTTTTTTCATTAATGTGAACTGAAAAGGTAAAAATTATAAAGTAAAAGCTTTTTTTTTTATGTCTTACCAAAAATACTCTAAAAAGAAAATGAAAAGAGAAAAATAAATGAGAAAGAGTTTACTTAAAAGATAAGAGAAATATAATCAAATTATGTTTTGAATTTTAAATATTTCAAACATCAAAATCATTTTAAAGCATAAAAATAAATCTTCACAAATATTTCTTATTCCAAATAATTTATATAATTAGATTTATAAAATAATTAAAACAATACAAATATATAGTATGTTTATTAGTAATGATTTTAATAATAGCGGTTAAAAGAGGTAGTTGTCAGTAAATATTTGTTAGAATGGTGATTGATGATGGTTAAAGTGTAGTTGGTGGTTGTCAATAGTGCTCAAAGTAACGATCGAATGTGGTGTTCGATGGTGGTCAGAGTGGTGGTTAGAGTGACTAGATAGTGGTTAGATTAAAGATCAGAGGTGGATGGAGTGATGGTTGGCAATAGTTGATGATGGTTAAAGTGGTGACCGGTGATGTTCAAGTAGTGGTCCAGGTGGTGATTGGCGGTGATAAGAAGTGGATATAGTGATTATTGGTAGTGATTAAAGTGGTTGTCGATGGTGGTTAGAGTTGTAATTAGTGGTGGTCAGTTGAGTGGTGTTGAACAAAATAATTGAGCACAAAGAGTTAATAAAATTTACTTAAAGACTAATCGTTCGGGAGAATTTAAATTCTAAGTAGAACTATTTATGACCATACTTTAGTTATCTTTCGTCCAAACTCTAGATTATTTTACATGAAAAAATATAGATTTAACACCAAAAAGGAAATCTAACTCATGTTTGATATTTTTCAATCAATTTTATAAAAAGAGTATTCAAATGGTCTACCTGACAAAGACAAATCATTAAATAAAGTTAGAGTTTAAACCTTAATTAAAACAATTGTTGGTTAGATTTTATTTTCCTTTGAATCTAACTCAAAATTAAAATAGATTAAAATACTTTTCTTTTGAGTTAGAGCCGGATGAATAACTCTTAAGGAGGTGACAAAACTATTGGAATTTGTGGATTGAGAATCGATGATAGTGGAGAGCAGTACCTGAAAATATTGTGACAGTTAAATATGTAAGCAAAAGACGAAGTGAGTTTCTTATTGATCATATATTTTTAAATTTTGAGCTCTTATTTTAATGCAAAGAAGAAGTGAGTTCCTACAAATATTAAAATATGATGTTGTGTACATATTTATCTTTAAGTTTAGAGCTCTTATTTAGATGTTCTTAGAAGGTAAAAATTATGATAAGGGTTATAATAGTTGAGTTCCTTAGTGATCCTCGTCTAGTGTCGGGTTCATTGTTCCCGCCCTTATTTTCTACATTCTACACAACATCTTATTCCAATATCTCTCATTTCTTCTTTGCTTATTTGCTTGAGAGTCATAATTGTGTTGGTCAAGTGTCTCCAAAGACTTGATAAAGGATAAATTGTGTGAGTTTGAAAAACAATTTTCAAATAAAAAATTATAATAAAATTAGAGTTTGAAAAGCTTTTGCAATACAAAAAGATATAAGCAGTGAAAATAAGAAATCAAATAGATGGAAATACAGGAAAAAAATAGAAAAGTAAAGAATTAAGGGAGGAGAAAAAATTAGAGATTTATAAAGGTTAGGTCTAATGAAGTGACTTACTCATCTCCCCAAGAACTCCTTCTTTGAGAGTATCCACTATGATGAGAGCTTTTGACAGGATATGCCACAAACCTCCTTATACAAGGATTAAAATTTTAAAATGGCTAACTTATTAACCAACACAAATTTTTAACTAAAAAGACCTCTCAAACCAAGATATTTTACCACCAGGACAATCTCGAACTAACGAAGAGATTTTAACATCAACCTAAACTCACGAACCGATTGAGAGTTTTAATTACAGAGACCTCCCCAACAAAACAGAGACTTTAACTGATTTACCTCAACAACCAAACAAGAGCTTTTAACTTTGTATAACTTGTAACACTCTAATTTTTAATAATTATTTATTTATATTATATTAATTAATTAATTGAGTGATTTTGTACATAATTGATTTATTTGATTTATTTGATTTAATTGAATTATTTGATTTAATTGATTAATTTTATTTGATGGAATAATATGTGGAAATGGTAGAAATAAGTAATTGGGCCTAGATTGGGAGTTTGAAAAATAAGTGGGAGAGTGGGTTAAGTAAGATCATTAGAATAATGAGAAATTGTGGGATTTGATAAAATAAGAGAAAGATAGAATAGGGTTAGAAAGATAGAAAAGAGGAAAAGAGGGAAAGAGAGAAGTGGAAAAGAGGAAGAGAAAACTCCAAGAACAAGAACTCTAGAATTCAATGAATCAAGATAAGGGTGGGTATTTCCATGATTATTGGATTGTATGATAGTGTATGATGCGTAGTAGCATTTTTAGGATAAAAATCCCTACTTTCCATGGTGGTTGTTATATGATGAATTTGTGTGCCATATATGTGTGTATTCTTTTCTTTTTTGGAGGATTGAACATATATCCATCAATTTCAAAGGTTTTAGGCATAATCTTAAAACAATGATTAGATGGTTTAATTGTGTTACAATTGTAAATTTACTTGAGATAATTATAATATTTGATGGATTGTAATTTTTTGAGAGTTTGAGTTTTTACATAATCGAATTCGGAGGTCCGGAAGGCCTCCAACGGTGAAAAACGCGGAAAATTCTGAATGTTGTCCGTCACGGTCGTTCATGTTTTCAGTCAAAATCGTTTTGGTCATAACTTTTGATCCGTAAGTCTGTTTTGGTCTCGTTCGAAGCGTTGGAAAGCTAATGAATAGAGTTATAATATAGTATGGATAAGAGAATTGGTTGCCCAATATTTTTATATCTAATATGTTTGAGAAGTCAATTGTGTATATGTTCTATTAATGAATTGTTGCACTGTTTGTTGCCAGTTGTGAAATTATTTGTGGATAATTTGTCGAATACTTGTGTATATTATTTGTATAAGTATATTTTGGTGTGTGACAACATGATAGTTATTGCTTGTTGTAATTATAATACAATTGTGATTGTTGTAACACCTCGAATTTAATCGGAATATTTTAATTAATTTATTTAATTAAGAATATTCGTATTTTTGGTGTTTTCGGTGTTTTCGGTGGTTTTGGAAATTACTGAGAAAATGTGCATGTTGGACTATTTATTTAATTAATAGTATACTATATGAGAATATTAGTATTATTATTGATTAAAATGAATATAAGAGAAATAAGGGTAAATTGGGCAGTATGAAGAGTTAGTAAGAGTGTTATGGGAAAAGCCCAATTTGTGAGGCCCAAGACTAAGTTAGACAAAATTGAG